GTCCAGGTCCCTCTGGATGGCAGCGCAGCCCTCTGGGGTATCAGCTACTCCTCCCAGTTTGGTATCATCAGCAAACTTGCTGAGGGAGCACTCTGTGCCTTCATCCAGGTCATTGATGAATAAATTGAACAGGACTGGACTGAGGACTGACCCCTGGGGGACACCAATAGCTACAGGCCTCCAACTAGACGCTGCATCGCTAATCACCACCCTCTGAGTTCTGCCCTCTAGCCAATTGCTAATCCACCTCACTGTGCACTCATCTATTCCACACTGTCGGAGCTTGCCCAGGAGGCTGTTGTGAGGAACAGTGTCAAAAGCTTTGGTGAAGTTGAGATAGACAACATCCACAGCTCTCCCCTCATCTATCCAACTGGGCATTCCATCATAGAAGGCTTGCTTGACTAACCATCACGTTAGTCAAGCAAGATTTCCCCTCAGTGAATCCATGCTGACTACCCTTGAGCATCTTCCTGTCCTCTATGTGCCTGGAGACAATGGCCAGCATGAGCCGTTCCATCACTTTTCCAGGGATGGAGGTGAGGCTCACTGGCCCGTTTTTGCCTGGGTCCTCCTTCTTGCCTTTTTTGAAGACTGTCATGACATTGGCTTTCTTCCAGTCTTCCAGCACCTCGCCTGTTCTCCAGGACCTTTCGAAGATGATGGAGAGCGGCTTAGCTATGACATCTGCCAGCTCACACAGAACTCTGGGGTGCATCCCATCAGGGCCCAAGAGTTTGTGGATGTCAAGTTTCCCAAGGTGCTCTCTGAGCCAATCTTCCCCTACCGAGGGCAAGTCTTCTTCTCTTCAGGCACCATCTCTGGTTTCTAGGGTCTGGGATTCCAGAGGGCTGCCCTTGGTAAACACTGAAGCGAAGAAGACATTCAGTAGCTCTGCTTTTTCAGTGTGTTTCGTAAGCAGGGCATCCAGGCCATTCACCAGCAGACCCACGTTTTCCCTATCTTTCTTTTATCATTGATATATTTGAAAAAACTCTTTTTATTATTTTTAACATCCCTTGCCAAATTTAATTCCAATTGTGCCTTAGCTTTCCTTGCCACATCCCTGCATTCCCTGACAACATTCCTATATTCCTCCCAAGGAGCCTGTCCTTTTTTCCACTTTCTGTATAATGCCTTTTTCTGTCTTGAGTTTTGCCAGCAGCTCCTTGCTCACCTCCTGCCTCCCCCACCTGACTTCTTACTCAAAAGGATGCACCGCTCCTGAGCGTGGAGGAAGTGCTGCTGGAATACTGACCAGCTCTCTTGGGCCCCCCTTCCTTCTAGAGCCCTAGCCCACAGGATTCTTCCAAGGAGGTCTCTGAAGAGGCCAAAGTTGGCCTCTATTAACTACAAAAAAAAAAAAAAAAGAAAAAAAAGAAAACTCACTCATGTATTAGGTTCCTCATTATCTTAGAGCTTTACACACACACTTGAAAAGTCCCTAGCATTTTCTTTCATCGGTCTAGTCCAACCATTAACTTTTGACTGATGACATCAAAATCACATATGAAAATAAAACAAATGCAATAGAGAGACAGAAGTACAGTGTTATCCCACACATTAAGGCTACTACTAGGAGCATAGCTCATTTATATGCCCAGGGAAGAACAAATACTTACTCTTAAGCTTTTCAAGCTGTTGACCATCAAGAAAGAATGCATCCACCTTAATTTCTTTTTTCTTCTTTAAAACCATTTTTGGTTGATTAAGATACACCTGAAGAAAATATAAATATATCTATACATATACACACACATGCACAGAAACAGAGTTTAAAAGTACATTTACAAATACTTTCTAGGATAATGGCCTTTCCACTCACCTGAAGCAATACTCATTCTATTCTACTATTGTGCAATTGCTGCTATTATTAAACAAGATAGTAGCTCTTTCATGCATTTTGTCCAAAATTCACAGAGGCTTTATGGCACAACATAAAAGAAAATGTGATTTCAATATTTGGGGGTTGAATGGCAAACTGGAGCTTTTACATCAATCATTACACAGCCCAAGACATGACCCTGGATCACAGCTTGAAAATAGGACTTGGATGCATTGGAATTACATCACTAAACTACACTCGGCCTGTTTCACCTGCTCTAGCATTTGAGACTTATCTAACCCATATTAATGTAAAACTGCCAGGACAAGGCAGGTCACTTTATATATATATATATATATATAAACACAGCAAAAATTTCTGCATTCATAATTAAGGATGCTAGAAGCAGCAACTTCTTAAGTCAATGGAAACCCAACAGGGACTATAACCGCTCTGTCCTAAGTGGTTTAATATCTATCCCAAGATGATGGCAACCAGCAAGCAAAACCC